TACGCAAAGTCCGCAAATGGGCAGTGTTGGCATTGCCCAACCCAATCGCGTTCACCTAAAAAAAATATTCTGCCGATAAGGAATTCCTCTTAGCATTTCCTTTAAGCAAAAAATCTTACATTAATTTTGCATTAATCAGGTGCGTATTTATAACACGTATTCATTTATAAAAATGAGAACACATGAGCTATGATCAAAAATAAATAAATTCTTCTATAGAAAATTCTATTATAATAACTCAAATAGTCTTTTAAAATAAGAGGATATACAAAATACTAGTGGCACGCTTATTTGTTAGAAGTTTGTCATTTACGTGCTATAGTACGCGTGCATGACATCCTTCTAGGATGATTGAGAGAATTGCAATCCTAAATCCAGTACTTTATGGTTATACAAAATTCCTTTATTTTGTAGAGTATCCTCTTGAGGTCATATATAAATAGAAAATCCTCTGACATTAACACAGAACCGCTAAATGGCAGAATATTTTTTTGAGCGTTGGGCAATGTTAACATACAGAAAAAAGAATATTCTTAAATCAATCATAATATACTTATACTATATAAGCAAAAATATTATAATCTTGCTTTAAAGATTTAGTCTTGATTTGATTGAATTTTGTATTGATATTATAAAACAATATAAGATTTTAATTGAGTAAGTCTTGAATTAAATGCAAAGTAATACTTGCATCAAAAGAAATTTAATTAAATCAAAATTAATATTTTTGAAAGATTACAATATTTTTGCTTACATATGAGTATATTATGGTTGATTTAAAGAATACCCTTTTTTTTATGCACGGCCCAGGCAATGTCTACATTATACAGCAGGCAACTCGGGTATTGCTCACTGCGAACTTTGCTCGTAACACAAAAACCCACTTTGTTTAAAGGTGATTCTATACGGTATAATACTGATTAGTAATATTGAATCAGTTGAATGCTAAAAGATATGCATTAATATTTTTACAATTTTATACGATCAATATTATTGACAATATATTTTACTTTAATTTTACGTACATTATCTATTGCATTGTAATATACTGTGACATGGATCCTAATAAAGATGATGCTCGAGAATCAAAATCCAAATTTACGTCAATCCATCAATAATATTGTCAATATTTGTTAATACTGACAGTATTATTGATCGTGTAGATTCATCTTTGGAGTGAATTTCATTATGAAGAGTGAAATCTCACTTTTAGAGATTGAAAATTGAAATTTGTTTCAAAAACTGGCTCAATTTACTCTTGAGAATGAGATTCCACTTCAAAGAACTTAAAGAGTATATGTAACGATATATTCCGTAATTTGGGACGTAACACGAGACAGAGACCAAGAACGCGCGTGTATTATGTAACGTTACAAACTCCATTGCGCTGCTATTTTCCAATGATATTGCTACATGCAGTGTTGCTACGAACAAAAAATTAATTTAAAAACTAACTCGTGCTTACCTTGAATAATCGGTCGTTGAATCGATAGTAGGCGTTATCTTGGAAGAAATATGTATAGCCCTTATATGTTACTGCCGCGTTGATGTGATTCGGTATGCCTTCCCAATTTTGGATGAGTTTAGGGTAGCTACTTCTCACTGGTGGCTTCGACGCTGGATCGAAGCGCCAGAATTTTGCACCCTTGTAGAAATAAATCTTGCCATTTCCAGTCCATACGGTAGCCGCATCGATGTTATCAGGAATGCCAGTAAAACCATCGCTAATTTCCTTCGGGTAATCACCGTCCATAGTCGTATTAATATACCTCCAGTATTGCGTGCCCTAAAGTAAAATAATTGCAGTGTCAATTATAGTGAATGAAATTTGCATATTGATCAATGTCGACATAAAGTCTGTTTTCTATAGCTGAACCAGTGTATAACATAAAGTGTAGTTCTATAACCAGTTGTAGAACATAAAGTGGAATAGGTATATGTTTGATATTTGACGGAAGCGAGAAAGAAAGTTCTAGTAGAGGAATAAATACTGACTTACAGTATAAAGTAAAAGGAGCCAAATCAATTTTGGATTTTGCTCATTTGTTCAAGTGAACAATTACCTTAAAGAAATAAGTTTTGCCATTCCTGTATGTAAACGCAGCGTCTATATTTGATGGAAGTTCCTTCCATGTGCTACTAATACGTCTAGGATAACCGCTGGCCACACCGTCGTCTGTTAATTTCCAATAATGTTTTCCTGAAAGTTTCATAATAATAGCTTCAGTATTCTTACTTTGTCATCTTTGACAGAATCCAAATACTAATGGAAGATTACAACTCCGAAGTAGTACGTACCCTTGAACGCAATTATCTCGCCGTCTTTCGTGTTGAACATTGCATCGATCTTTGGATCTTTACACAATTCAGGATCTTCTTCGGCAGGCGGCGGAGGTCGCGATCCTCGTGGCGATTTAGTTTTCGTGCCATATAGAGCCTGAAATGATTTAATATTAGCTATTCGAGACACGCTACATCCAAAATTACGAATGTAACTGGTAATAGAAAGTTTCAGTCTTTCGGACGTTACCTGAATCGCGCTAACATCATCTTGATCTAGAGTAAAATGTGGATCGTAGCCGCGGTAAAAGGGTGCCATCAGAGCACTTTTGACATCACTGTGACTTAAACCGAGCGAGTGCCCGAATTCATGAGCCGCAACTTGAAAGAGATTGGTACCGCGGTAGCTTCTGATGGTCCATCGTTCAGCATCGTCGAAGTGAGCATCACCACCGTATACGGGAAAATATGCGTGTGCTAAGGTGCCACCAGGTCCATCGAAAGGATCACCATCGCCGTGCTCACCTACTTCGAATCTGATATCGATATGAACCTAAACGAATTACTTTTGTTTAGTATTTTATTAATGTATAATAATATTTTTATCTCTTTAATTTTTAACAATCGATCTGCGTCAGTTGGTTACATAAGCATACATATATTTTGACTATATGGGCCTTACATTTTCGTGTCCTGTCTTGCGGGTAAATGTCAGATCAGTTTCACCCGTCCAAACAGAGAATGCGTTCGCTATTTCCTTTTCTACTTCCTGTTTGTTAAGACCAGTTGGGTACTTGCTAATTTTGTACGTTAGATTCTTCGTACGCCATCTGGACCCTATGATAAAGTATTTTATACATGAGACGCGTGGAGCGAGAGAATGTTTGCTTTGTTTAAAAATATTGCGATGCATTCTCGTTTATCCGTGCGTACACACACCCACACACACATGTTAAGATCGTTAATTCATTTTCCGTGGCTATTAACGTATGCATGTCCGTTACGCACCAATCGATGCACAACACGAGTCTATATTGTAGGAATCCACTTGCGACACACGCGTGATGTTCCAATATATATATTTATATTGTTTCGATGCTACGAATCTGCTATAAGTATACCTAGCTGTTACATCGTTATTGTATCGTAGTGGTAAATTGTTTATTACTCGTAAGAATAAAAATCACGGCTTGCGTGTTACGTGCTCATTACGGTTATAGAATTACGATTTATGCAACAGTTGCGCGTATACTATAATTATATCGCGCATCTCGTATGACTCTTACGTAACGATCTGTTCGTCATTATGAGATGAAAGAATAAAATGAAAGAATGTAGCACATAGTTACATCGGATTATCATTGAGTTAAATTTCGACTGTGTGCAACTGACATTCCGTAGGATGCACGCATGGCCGAACTTAGCACCAAGAGTTCACTGAAACATGAAACGCACGTGCTTGGGTTCAAAGTCATGGTTAGCCCGTGTGAAACTGCGATCGCTTTATTATTCTGTCGATAGTCGTGCATAAGAATGTCTTTGTTGGTCTTTTTTATTTTCAATGCGACATGACCAAACGATTAGAACATTCATATACGAATCAATGAATCAAGAGATCTGTTTTTTACTGTTGCGCTCTGAACCAATGCAATAAGTTAAAATGAAACAAACATATATTTGTTTCACTTCAACTTATTGCACTGTGTGTACTAGTTCAGAAAGTGATAAAGCACCAATAAAAAACAGAGTATCAAGCATTTTTTAGCGAGACGATCGTATATAAATGTAAATATGAATATATAGAGGAAAGTCGATATCGACATATCATCCTGTTTTCAAATATTTCACAACACGATATTTCTTAAATAAAAGCCAAAAATAAAAATGTTTTAGAAACATAAATATAAAAACATTAGAAAGTATTTTCTAGTAAAGAGAATATAGCAGTTTTTATAATACTGTTTGCAATTTTGCAATAATTTTTTTGTAAGATAAGCAAAAAGAGTGCTTGACAAAATAGACTCCAAAACTGATATAGTAGATAGTAATGTCACATATTCCTATTCTTTTATTTTTACTGAAGTCATCTGTAAAACATACCTACAAGTGAATGTATACATATAAGATTTCCTAGAATCTTTTCATTTATATAAAACGATTTTTATTGATTTATATACTTGTACTGTTCCGCAAAACGCAAACCATGTAACGCTAAAGTTTTTTTTTTTTTTGGAGAATTTTTCCATAATATTGTCTTCAGCTCCTGATAAAGACTATTTGACACTATAACGCAATACTATAAAGATTAAGTTAGCTTATGAGTTGTTTCAGATAGGTGTGCCAGTTTACGCTGCACTCCGTGATTTTGTATTTAAAACCGTGAAAAAAAATAGAAAGAAAAAATATAAATAAAACTGATTAAAAAAAATAAATATATAAAATGATGTAATATTATCAATAATATAACTATTATTGTTTAAGCTATGTAATTTGCAAAAAATTTTGTATAAAAAACAGCCACAAATATATAAATTAGTTTTTGCTTCTTTAATCATCTAAACAAATCATGTTTTTGTGTTAATATTAATAAAATGCAGCAATTAATTTCTGAGAAATAAGAGAATGTTTCTTTAGAAAATCTATGTCAGTATATATAACAAGATTATAAATATATATCTGACAATGAAAAAGATATACTAATTGAATACAAAGAGACAGATTAATTAAATACAAAAACATTATTATCTATTTAAATACAAAGACTTCAAAATTTGATTTGATAAGATATTCTTCTTATCGAAAGAGAATCTCGTCGATTCATTAACCAATCGTAACTTTATCGTTAAATTGCATAGTGGATGCGAAATGCAACAGTTGATTCGAGCGAATTCATGTAGCTGATTTAAAATGCATTTAGCACATCCGATAGACTGTTATCGTGATATAGATCCACGTGACCCGTTTAAGGTGACTGACTTTATATCAATCTGACTATACCACATAGTAGTAACGAGACAACGGGAAGTCGAAATGGCGCGATTCATCGTAAAAGTCATCGTAAAAGACTGCAATGTACTAAATAATTTATATTTACTATGAATGCGTTCCATTTGACGCAACGGAATTCATGGAATCATTTAATTTCTTGTTATTTATTAAACGTTAAATAAGTAATGCTTGCGAATGTTGCAAGCACCAAATAGAACACATCCTATATGTATTCCTTTGTTATTTTATTATTAGTACGTTTTTACGTGGATCGTTGATGTGATCTATGTGTTAACGTAGCCAACTTTCCGTTTTACGACATTATATTTTACGTTATAGATTTTCTTCGAATTTCGATATAGAGAATGCCCGCGTCGCGATTAGATAATCGATCGTGATCGATCAAAAAAAAAGTTGTGTCACGTCTCGTGGTTACGTTTACACTCTCGATTGCATTAAACTTTTTTCAATTTGTCAATTATTGATTAGTCGCGCAAAGTGATGAAATCTATTGAATTTTCGATTAAAAGTTTTATACATCGACTATTTTATTATTTTACCTTGAAGAGCGTATCTCTTTGATCTTCCATCGGCAGCTGGTCCAACTTTATCTTTAACACCGCATCTTGGTGTAGCCATAAGCTTAGCAGTTTCTTCATTTAATTCACCTGTAATAAAAAATATCGAGATAAATTTACGAATTATTATTTATTGTCGTAAAATTATTTATTCTTGTAAAATCGAGAATACTCAAATGGTCTTCACAAAAATACCTTGCATTTTATTGCCTTTTATCATCCTTTAAATATAATCGCGTGATAAAAATAATTATTGTATATATTCCGATTTTCGCGTATATTGATTGTTAGAGTACAGTTTAACAATGTCGATGCGAAGCAGAGGGTGTAAAATATTTGTTAAGTACATCTATGCCCTTTTATGTGCACGCGTATACGCGTATATGTATTTCTCGCACCCTGTGTATGTATTAATTTCTCATGCATGCATAATATACAGTACACATAATATAGTACATAATGTAGTATGCGGGAGTACCTGTGCATACGCTACCACTATTTTCCATCGCGGTCACGCGATTCGACATTTACAGATTCATCGTTGCCGGCGTGCAAAGGTTGCCGGAGCACACCGGCAACGAATAAAAATTATTATATATTGTTTCAATCTTGCGAGAATTTCATGGTATATTTTGTATCATAAAGAATAATTCTGAAAATTTTAATTTTAATTATTGTACTTTTCATTTAGTAACTCTAGTTCTATTAATGCATGCTGTTCATATTTTATCAAATTTAATATTGTTTATTAAATTTCCTCTCTTTCCTTTAACATGAAAAAAATCTTGTTGCGATGAACATGCCCGAAGTAATAACAATCGTAATAACAGTTAGAAAAAAAATAATAATAAAAATTTAAGTAAAAGTCATATGATTTGTGTATACATTTTCATTGAATTTCTTTTTGAGAGTTACGTTCATCAGTAGTTGCAAATACGTTAACGACGCAGATTATGGCCGATAAACACGTTTCATCTCGAATAATGCCACCACCGATGGCCTACAATTTTACAGTTAGATCACTCTTCCGTTCACCTTCGGTTTTTATTGGATTCTATTACTTCACTGGATTCTACTGTTTCGCCCTGTTCATGGACTCTCGTATATAACATCACACTATAATATATGACCGACGAAACTTGCTTGTTGATCTTTTCTATTATTTCTTCAAACTTTTTTATATGATTTCTATATTTATTTATTTACAACATTAACTTGACGCTATGAGAAAGTGCGTATAATTATTAATCATGATTGCAAGACAACTTTTTACGACTTTAAAACGTTTGTTACGTATTTTTCAAAATTATTATTTGCAAGACCATTATACTAATATGACACTACAGTAATATGACTCATTGATTGAAGCATCAGATTGAGTTCGGTTGCGTTTCACCGAATCCCTGAATCATCACTATTCATTATCATTAATAGTTTAAATCGACAGGGAAGGCACTGACTGGGGATCGCTGTTATCGTTCCTCGAGCGGTTTGACATTTTATGCGTCTCTTCATATACATAAACATGGAAAATTTTATGTTTTGCGTTTTCCTTTTTTTAAATCATACGCGTGCAGCATTGAGTAAACTGATTCTCCGTAATTTTCCATATGAATCATCATTATTTGTTAGAATTTGATAATATTAGATAAAAACTCAAGTACATCTAGTAAGTATACGTACGCAATATACAATAGACAAGAATGGATTAAAATGGATTGAAATTTTAAGCCATTTGAATCATCCGAATACATATTTTAGTATCATTCATAGTCCGTTTTTACTTTTTTTAAGATTCAATCGAATTAAAAAACTGTGTTTCCTATTCAGAATTTTGAATTTAGCAATATTCTCAATGCACTCAAAAAATTGAAATTTCTTTTAGATTAAAAAGGCAAGAAATGTTCAATTTTTATAAATGAATAAAAGTACATTGAAAAAGATTCAGTTTAACGTTTGAATGTGTACTTCTGAAAATCTGAATCTGTTTCAATTCATTTCAATCCATTCTTGTTTACTGTGTGTCTAGCACATGATATAATTTACATGAATAATGTACACACACACACACACACACACACACACACACACACACACACACACACATATTATTTAAATACATTGCATATTATATATACAC